GGTCTATTTGGGTTATGGGTGGGGTAAAATCCGGTTTGGAGTGTGCCTTAATTAATAGCCAATCAGAAATAGCCACGTGGAATTAATAAAATATTAAAACAAATCATAATTCACCCGTTAGAACTAAGGGCACAAATATACCAGATTTTTAACGGTTGGGTCATTCTTAGCAATATAGGTTAACGAGGGGCATTTTTAGACTGGAGTTGATACATTAGGAGCAGTTTTAGCCCTTTTCCATTTATTAAATGGGTTCACAACATTAATTGCAATATACTCTAATGTCCAGTACCTCTGCTTCCCATTTGTTTAAGCCATTATTAGAATGAGTCTTATCTCTTCTTGTTTTTGCTTTTTTTCATTTTTTATCAGTGAGTTAGTTCAGTACCATATGCGCATTTGCAATAAATCGGACGTCCATTTCATCAGAAGACTAAATTGACAAATGCTTCGCGGATGCTAAACGCACTTTGTCATTTTTCCAATTCTCTTTAATAAGAAATGCAAAAGCAACATCCCTCTGTGCGGGGAACTTGAGCATTATCTAAAACCCAACCATTAAAAAGGAGTTATTATTTCTACATATCCCCCTAACTTAAATCCTCGCCATTTCTTCTTAAACAGCTTCGTCTCCAGCTTTTGTCTGATTTAAAGACTTCGTTGTAGATGTTTCTTTACCAACAGGTTCGACTTCAACATCGTCAGTGCTGCTGTACTTAGACAATTTTTGGTCCTTGCTCTTGCCCCATATTATTAAATACAGTCCAATTACAATGATTGCCCCTCCCAAAACCCTATATATTCATCCGGCACCATATTAGACAACCTCCTCTGCACGCAACGTTACTACTTGAAATAAAAATCATTAATGATATCGCGATAATCAATTGTTCATTCCCAAAAAAATAAAAATAAAAATAAAAATAAATAATAATAATAATAATAATAATAATAATAATAATAATAATAATAATAATAATAATAATAATAATATTAATAAAGTAAATAAGCATGTACATACCTTCCCAAGTTTAGCTGCTCGGATAAAATGAATGAACCCAAAATTGCGACTATTACCATGTTTAGAGGATTAAAAGCAGTGACGAAAACAGGCCCTTTATCCTTCATTATCAATCCAGAAACATAATAGCCCACTCCAGAAGTGACCATTCCCTGCATCCGTGAAAATTTGTTTTGCGCGAACTAAAGTAAGCTCTAGGAAAGTCGTGACTAATAGGTGATAAATATAAAGATGAATAATGGCACATACTAGACAATGTTCATGCTTACACTATAAACGTAAGATAAGAGTTTAGTGTCGAAGTGGATGGACCAGATTGATGTATTTCCCCTTTCAGCCACAAGGGTCAGAGCTGTGCCTTGCACCGCTCCCGCCGAGCAAATCAAACAAGTGAGCGATAATGCCGCAGGGTATGTCTTCAAGGTAATTGCCTGTTTGTAGAACAAACAAACATAAAATAAGAAAAAAATAACAATGTTAACGAAAATAAAAACTACGTAGATTATCCTGCTGGTCTCAACATTGTCATCTATAGTGAATCATTTAATAACTTAAGTTTTTAAGAATGATTAAGGATAGTACCTGAAGGTTGTAAAAGCAGGCCCAACAGATACAACCTGCTGCGATGAAGAGAGCACCCTTAATGGGTTGTAGCTCAGTGAGAAGTGCTAGTAGCAGTTGTAGTAGAAAGGAGATGTCTGGTCCAGGGCAATCCAATTGTAGGTCCTCCAATTAGTGTCATAATCATGGCACCACCAAATGTCACTGTTGTTCCCACTATTTTTGCTTGGCTTGATAATCTCCTTACGTTCACCTTCTCAAGCCTACACGTTGGAGTTACCTATTATTCCCCACATTTACCTACTCATGTAACCAACTTTAAACCGAATTATTAGAAATTGTATAAAATTATCCTCTGTTATACTATTGGATCAAAAGAACCCCTGCCGTCTTACTATTCAAACACATATACCCCTAACTTGACGGACTGGACACATGGCACGCATCTAAGGTTGTTGGTCCACTTGGTCATAAATTAGACCCGACCCGACCCGCCCTATTACCCGGTACCCAGAAGAGACTGAGTTCAGATAAGCACTATAATCTGTTGTTCTTTCTCTATCTCTCATTCAGTAGAAAATAAATCTAATGCATTTTGTGTTGAAATCAATTGAAGCTAATGGAACAGAGCTTAAACCTTTTTGAAATGGTACATCAGTGTCTTGATTTGAAGAATTGGAAAGCTGCACCTCCATTGAAGGGTTTCGAAGCTCATTTCCAAGTATGGGTTCAAATGGGTCCTTTGGTTCAATGACTGACTTGGGGTTTATATTATTGAAATCTGATTTTGTATTGTTTCTTGTGCTTAGATCTAAATTATATTGTTGTTTGTTGGAAGAAGTTGATGGTAAAAGTCGAAACTCACCATATATGATATGTTGAATCTTTGGTTTTGAATCTAGATCTAAAAAAGAAGTCGAAATATATTGGTAAAATTCATTTATTGTTACTGTTTTGAGTCTATAATTGTGATTACAACATTGAAATATTGATTTGCTAAGGAAACTAGAAAACACCATTATGAGGATTTTGAGAACTTTGAAGAAGACAAAATGGGCCTCTCTGATTTTTTGAATGAAAAGAGTAATCTGTATTTGGCGAGTCAAATTTAATGGATCGGGTACTGGGTAATGGGATAAGTCGGGTCTAATTTAAGACCAAATGGACTAACACCCTTGGATGCGTGCCAAGTGTCCAGTCCGTCAAGTTAGGGATATATCTGTTGTTTGAATAGTAAGATGGCAGAGATTGTTTTGATCAAATAATATAACAGAGGGTAATTTTAAATAATTTCTAATAGTAGAAATTAAATATACTATTTGAATATCCGAACTTTAAATCGTATTACCTCATTTATTTCATATGATACTATTTGATATACTCTCTCTGTTTCAATTTATGCGAACCTATTTGACTGGGCACGAAATTTAAGAAAAGAGAGAAAACTTTTGAACTTGTATAAAATGAGACATATATTTTGTGTGGCTATAAAACATTGCATAAAGGTAAATTGTTTCCAAATAGGAAAAGATGTCATTCTTTTTTGTACGGATTAAAAAGGATATAGGTTCACATAAATTAAAAATGAGGGAGTAACTATTTTCTTAAAAATATCTAGCATAATTCTTTGGATATAAGAGCATGTTAGTTATGATAAAATGAATGTTTAAATTAAAAAGTTTCCAAATATTGAGAATTGTCATATTTTTTAGAACAAATTAAACAAGAAAGAGTATCATATATATAGAAATTGAGGGAGTACTTATTTTGTTGAGTTGATGCATTAATAATTGTATTTTAAGCTGTACAGGGGTTTATATCAACCCGTACTTTCTAGTCATTACTAAACAAAGGGAACATTTTGGACGATAAGACGGCTCAAAACTCCCATGGACTCTTTTGTTACACGACACCCATATTTGCTGATACTTTTTTTGGTTCTTTTTGCTGATCCAATAGTTGAGTTAAATACATCGATCGTAGTTATCAATTTTTTTTCTCCTTTTTAAACGTTGAATATGAACGTGCATGTGACAAAATAAGTTGCAGACAAGATAGGTAAATAATACCTTAGGATCCAAGCCAACATAAAGGTGAGGGCAGGAAGCACATTGCACATTGCCGTTGCAAAAGTTGCAGTAGTGTATCTCAACCCTGTGTAGTACAAGTTCTGGTCGATGACTGGCCTGCAATAAAAAAAAGGCAGCTTATGTTTTCAGTGTAATATCAGACAATCTGCAAAAAAGGCAGCTTTTGTTTTCAGTGGAAAAAATTGCTAATTTATTAATGTCAGAGATGTTTACTCCAGTAAGCCCAGCAACATAATCTTCAAGAAAATGGATACAGTCATGTTTGGCCTTATTTTCCTGTGTGTTAAACAACCAGAGAAACCAGAGAATCATTTTTTTTTAAAAACCAAAATAACTTCATCTAAGTAAAAAAGAGAGTTGCACAGCATGAATATGTTAAAGACCTTTCCAAGACTATGGCAAAAGGAGCAAAGACAAGAGTGGCAAAAGCATTTCTGTAGACGGCAAAGGTGAAATGGCTCATGCCATGATTTAGAGCAGACTTAGCTATTATAGCTGATCCTGCATATCCAAACTGCAACAATATCACTGCCAAATATGGCTGTGCTTCCTTCACAAACTTCAATAGCCTTTCCCTTGTTGACATGCTTCTTTTTTCTTTACTGAACAGTAGCTTTCTTTTCCTTTTTTAATATTACAACTAGCTAGATAAAGTATTGGGTAAGCAATGCTTTGTAACTCACAAACCCCATCTTGCGGTGCTATATATAGGGGACAAACAAAGCTAGCTAAGCACGTCTCCATATCAAAACTCCATGGACTCCACTATCATCTTATAATGGAATTGTTCATTAAAACACTTCTCTTCATCCAGATAATGGCTTACTTATTTCTATAAAGTTTCTCATCATGAAAACTGGTAAAGTGATCTTTTTCCCACAGTTTGAATATTTTTATAATTTACAGGTGAAGAAAAGGTTTCAAAATATTTCTCAGAGTTATTGCTATAAATCAAATGTCTACTGTATTTGGTTTTTTTTCTTCACTATTTCGTAAACGAAGAATAAGTAATTTATATTTTAAAAGAAGCAATTTATGATAAGACATTGTTGCTGACGAGGGAGATAGAACCGTCACAACAATGCACTAAACCAAATATGTCTTCTTAGTGG